ACAAAAGGTGATATTCTGTTGTATTCAAAGACCTTCGAAATACATAAATACAGGCGAAAGAAAAATGTATTTATACAAAAATACAATATATTTGTATCATTATATGTGACTAAATAGCAAAAAAGAGGATAAAGTTCACGCGGAGATGGAATTTTCCGGCCAAGTGTCACACCTCCTTTTTCTACCCGAAAGGGAATATAAGGGAGTTTTTTCAGTTTAAGTGACATAATCAAAACGGGATTATTTATTCAAATTCAGAGTCGTCACTTGGGATAATTTATGGTGTCCCAAGTCACCGGTTTAAAATCCTGAATCGAGGAAGTTTGACTCTGTTTTACAGTCCGCGAAACATAGAAATCCGGGTAAGGAATTTTGTTAACCCGGGAGAAGGTGTTAGGCATTCCCGAGTTCCGTAGTTTTAGCACGGTCTCATTAGTTATACCTGACTTAATTAAATTGTCTAATTACTTATTTTAAAAACTATGTGCATTCACCGCTTATCGCTTTTATTTGCTTAACTATTCCAAAATAGGGAGTTATCTAGAAAAACGAGTCACACGTACATGTACTCATTTCATTTGGCACGTCAAGAATCATGTCACGCATACGTGTCCACAATTAATCACGTGTTATTATTATTAAGAAAGGTTGGACAAAGTTGCGCGAATGCATACCTCGATTTATTTTAAAAGAATATTAATTATGTCACGCAAACATGTACACAATCACGATAATAGATTAAGTTGCGCCTAAAGTAAGCTACGATGTTCATGAATTATTTGTTTCTTCCTAAACTTTACAACTTTTGTTGCACCTTAATCACTTACACTAAATAATCAATATGGTTTTGAATAAAAAAAAATGACAGCACATGTTGAAAATAACCAAAGTGGTAAGTCTATTTTTGCCTTGAGCTTAAGTAGTTTTAGTGTGAGGTCACTAACTTATCAAAAGAATTTTAATACAGTAACCATGTACATCTATAATCACATGGGTAAGAAATTTGCTACTTAAAACTAATAATGAAATTCTACAACCAAATAAGAACAAATAATCGAAGAAGACACAACTCCTTCACACAGGTTCACAAGGAACAAAATACGTAGTCATAAACAATATAATCAGAACAAAACAAAATGAAAGAAGTAAGTCTTACATTGAACCTTCATACAAAAACGGAATCAATCACTGTTAACTGGACCAAAAGTGGAAACCTCAAATGGAACTACGATCCAGACCTTGAAACTCGCCGAAAACGCGACAAAATTCAACAATGAACCTTGAATCGGCACCTCGAATTTGCAAACAGACAGCTTGAAACCCAAACTCGAACTTGGACGAAAATGCTTCAAACTAGAAATAGAGATTCAGTGTTTCGACTGTTTCGACTCTCGTGAATTTCTGCTCATTTTCAGTGTGTAAATCTGTATAGAGTATGTAGCTATATATATACACAAAGTTATTGCAGATGGGATGCTAATGGTTTTTAAGAAGAAGGGGTTGTCGTTGGTCGGTATTTCCGAACTGAGTGTGGCCAATTTTTTGGTGAAGAAGGGGTGCCGGTGATTTTGGAGGAGGGACGAGAGGTGTGAAGAAGCAGCAGTCGTTGCTTGAAGGGTGTAGAGGAGACGAAGCGGCAATGGGGTCAGAGATGGTCGCTGGTTTTAGGTGTAGTCGTTGGGTAGTTAGCGTGAGGTTCAGGGGTGGTCGTTGGTGAGGTTTGTTGTTTGAATGGAGGAGAAGAAGTTCAGGGGGAGGGGGGTCTCTTTGATGAAAAATGACTAGTTTGTATTAGGTTCTCTAGAGTTGGTTATTTTGTTCAGAAGAAGAGTCTAGAAGGGTCCCTAGGGTTTAGGGTTGTTCAAAACCGATCCGAAATCGAAAACCGAACCGAACCGAAGCTTAATGGCTTACTGGTAACGACTTAACGGCTTAACGGACGGGGAATGGATTAAATTTTTTATTAACGGCTTATCGGTTTGGGGGCGGATTATTCAATTTTCTTAACGAATAATCCNCCCACCAGTCCTCGTCGTCGTCAACTTCCACCAGGCACCAGTCTCATTCTCTTCGTCTCGCCTCTCCCTCTCGCGGCTTCTTATCTTCTTATCCAGGTACTCTTACTTATGATTCCCATCAAAATCAACATTATCAGGAGTTTGCTAGTCATTTTTTTCTTTTCAATTTATAGTTTTTTCTCACTATTTGTTGTTGAAATGTTGTCTCTCTGGCCCCCGCTCCGGCTCCAGTTGTTGTGGATGAGAAGGTAAAGGGTGTGGTGAAGAAGGAGAAGAAGAAGGAAGGGTTTAGGACGATTACGATGACGGAGAAGTTTAGTTGTAGGGCGAAAGATTTGTTTGAGATATTGATGGATGAGAAAAGATGGAAGAGTTTTACGTAGAGTAATGCAAGGATAAGCAAAGAGGTGGGAGGGGAGTTTAGTATATTTAATGGGTCAGTTACAGGTTCAAAGACATTTGATTTAATTGGCATAGTGTTCTCAATCTCCTATGCTTAATGTCATTTCAAACTAGATGCTACCTTACCTGTCGATAAGTTGGAAATACATCTATTTTACTTAGATATAAGTTATTCCACATATATATCTCTGTTTCCACACTCGTTGAATCGGCATGCTATTTATCATTCCATTCATGGACCTCTTTACCACAAAGGAGAGCTCATTTTTGTTATTGCTTAGGCAATCTCCTTTTCCTTTTCAGTGCTACTCTTCTAAATGTTTATAAAATGTTGCTATTTGATGTTGTGCCAGTCGTTGTTTTCTTAATTTTTGGATCTTATTACCCAATCCTATAATAGCCATTAATTTTATCACTTGTGTAAATTTCAGGGTGCATTGCTGATCATTGGTTATGTATATCATGGTTCAGGTTCGTAGCCATATATTTCTTTATATTGATCGTATACTCACTAAGCAGTTGTTTATTCTATCATATAATCTTCTGATCATATAATTATGGATGAAAATGATCTCCTCTATCATCTTTTTCTAATATTATTGCACACGGTTATTCTTTTATATGCCTTCTGAATTACAAATACTTTTTGTTGTCTCTGGTAGGTGGAAGAAGTCCAGCAGATGCTTTTAGTAAACTTGAAGGTAACCGTCTATGAGAGCTGAATCAAAATTTTGCATTTTATGACAAATTATGCCCCAGTTACTAGAACATTCTGTTTATATATCTAAGGGAAGTGATGTAAAATACTATAACTAGAGTATTCGTTTGTCCAAAAAAAAATGTATTCTTGTGAATGCTTGAAGTCTTTAATTGCAAATAGATCCATAACATGGTATTTGTAAGAAAGGCTTGATTTCTCATGTATATTGTGTGTGCTCGGTGTAACAACAAGGAATTTGTCATTGGTAAATGGTAATCTTACACTTACAGCCTTGCAGGAACTAATGTAGAGTTGCAGGAAGGCAAATTAATTTTTCAGAAATGACGGTTTGGTAGCTGGCCTGATGACGTCCAGTCCACAGTCCAAATTACTTTTCAATCCCGTAGTAATCTTAGCACTTAATTGTAAATAAGCTAAAGAACACACAGGGCCAGGTTATATAGTTTGCTAAAATACATACTCAAGATGTTGGTGACCTTTTGTATACAAACGAAGCGCTAGTATTGCTTATAACTTGATGTTTTTATTCTCATTCCTTTTCTTTTCTTGTTGCAGTGACTCATACATGGCTAAAAATATACAAAGTGATAAGGTAATGATGGGTGAAAGTGGGGCTTCTAATTCAAATGCAACAAGTCAAGCTCAAACAATGGAGTCAAATATAACCAAAAAAAGGAGAAAAAGGTCTATTGTGTGGGATCATTTTACAGAAATTATTACTTCTGAAGGGAGTACAAAAGCAAAATGTGACTATTGCTTTATTGAGTATGTATTTAAGACCAAAGACGGTACATCGATACTTCTTTCTCATATGCTTAAGTGTCCTAAACGCCCTACTATTGTCGATAAAAAACAATCAAATTTAGGATTTCAATCTGCTCCGGGGGGTAGTCAGGGTGACGTAGCTGTTGTTACTTGGAAATTTGAACAAGAAGAATGTAGGAAGGCATTATGTCGCATGGTAATAGTTGATGAGCTTCCTTTTAGCTTTGTTGAGAAAGAAGGTTATAGAGACTTTGTGAAAGTGGCGCAACCTTATTTTCGGATCCCTTCCCGTAGTACTGTAACTAGGGATTGTTTTGATCTTTTTAATGAAGAAAAGCAAAAGTTGAAGAGGTTTTTTATAGAAACAAAACAAAGAGTATGTATTACCACTGATACTTGGACTTCTATACAAAGAATCAATTACATGTGTATCACTGCCCATTGGATTGATAGTGAATGGAATATGCATAAGAGAATAATAAATTTTTGTCCTATTGTTAGTCATAAAGGCGAAGATATGACAAATGGTATTGGTAGGTGCTTACGTGAGTGGGGGATAAATAAGATCTTCACTGTCACAGTTGATAATGCAAGCTTAAATGATGTGACAGTAAAAGAATTATCTAAATAATTAACAAAAATGGGAACTAATTTGATGAATGGTACTCACCTTCACGTGAGATGTATGGCTCACATCATGAATCTTGTGGTCCAAGATGGTTTAAAAGAATCTTCAGTGTCTATTGAACGTGTTAGGCATGCAATGAGATATGTTAGGCAGTCTCCTGCACGGTTGAAGAGGTTTCAAGAATGTTTTGATGCTGAACAACTCAATTCTAAGAAAACATCATGCTTAGATGTTCCAAGTAGATGGAATTCTACCTACTTGATGTTGCGCAGAGCTATTGAATTTGAATGTGCATTTTCACATTATGCTTCTAGTGAAATTGGCTTGAGACATTATCTTGAGCATTCTTATATTGATGTTGGAATTCCTACAGGTGAATTTTGAGTAGTGATTGAGATAATGTAAAAAGAATTACAAAGTTTCTTGAAATATTCTATCTTCTTACTTTGAAGATATCTAGATCACGCTATGTTACATCGAATATTCATTTTCTTGAAATTTGAGCAGTTGCTGTCTATTTGAAGCAATTGATAGCAAATGAAGATATAGTTTTAAGTGAAATGGCAAAGAATATGAAAGAAAAATTTGATAAGTATTGGGGTGATCCAGGGAAAATGAACAAGATAATTTTTATCTCATGTATTTTGGATCCACGATACAAGATCGAATCAGTTGGCTTTGCACTTGTAAAGATGTTTGGTATAGATCCGGGGGCAACTATACAAGCAGAAGTAACGAAATACATGACTTCATTATTCAGTGAGTATGTAAAGTCCAGCTCAAAAGGTGTTGTGCTTGCTTCATCTTCAGATTGTTCTTCATTGGACACTTCGACTTCCGGGCTTTCTGGAAATCAAGCAACCATCCAAAATATAGGACTTTTAGAATCACTCATGCAAGATATAAAAAAATATAAAAGTGGGAGTGGAGGTGTTGATACTAGAACAGAGTTAGATAAATATTTAGGTGAAGAAACTTAGGATGACACTAAAGAATTTGATGTTCTTCTTTGGTGGAAATTGAACTCAGCTAGATTTCTATTCTTGCGGAGAAGGCTCGTGATATATTAGTTGTTCCGGTTTCAAGTGTGGAATCCGAATGTGCATTTAGTACGGGAGGACGTCTTCTTGATTCATTTAGGAGTTCATTAACTCCTAAATTGGTGCAAGCTCTAGTGTGTCTTCAAGATTGGCTTCGAAATGAAAAATTAAAACAACTCATTAGTGTTGAGGAAGATCTTGATAAAATCGAGCAGATTGAACAAGGTAATAATATTGTTACTATATTTGTTGTATATAAGTATTGTTGATATGCTTCTATTTATCGCATGACTCATTATTTTAATTTTTTTTTCCAGATTTAGCCAACAATGGAAAAGACCCTTCCGTAATTGACGTGTAGTGTTAATATATTTGGTAAGATTATTCATTAGCAATTCTTTTTCTAAAACTCTTCATTTCTGTGCTTTACATTTCCATTAGTCAGCCGTGCTGGTTTTGGTCAGAAATATTTGTTGCAAACAGCACAAAAAGTCTAATTCGGAAGAACCATTTTGGTTATCTAACAATATCTGGTTAAAGCTTCTTCACTTCTGTGATTTGCATTTTCTATTAGTCATCTGGGCATGTACTTGGTAGAATAATTTCTAGAATGTCAATTCCAAATTTCCAGAGTTATAAATGAACATTTGTTGTTTGTGCCTGACACGCTCTTGCATCTTAATGGTTTTTGTGATGTAGGAGGACCTTTTGGAGTTGCAAGACGAGAAGCTTACTTCAACTATGAGAGAACAACAACAACGGGCACTTGAGTTTTGGGAGTTGCATTAATGTTTAGCATTCTGCAGTACCCCTCAAAATAAAGCGTCTTGCTCGGATATTTTGTAGTAGTATTAAGTACTTTTTCGGCACAGAATGGAAGTGGTTTTTGTTAAATGGTTGGGCGCAAAGTTTTGTTTCTGTAAGTGGTCTTAAATGTTGAACTATTGGATTGGTTACGAAGTTTGTCTCTGTAGTGTTTCCTCAGTTTTATCCAACACTGTTTACTATTAATACTTTGTATTGTTGTGGACTTATTTATTCATTAATGCAGCTATTTAACATGATCAACTATTAATACTTACTTACTGCATATCAATTGAAGTTTGATATGCAGTAACTAGTGGGGCTTATAGCAAAATTTGGCTAAGCTGAACTTGACCAACTCTGGCAAAGCAAATTGAATGCATCATATTGCCTCTGAAATGTTTTTTTTATGGCAATTCATTATTTCTAAGACGAGGAGAATGGGAGATATTTAGTGAATATGTATGTTAGTCGTTAGGCCGATAAACCGCCCGATAAGAGCTAAACCGATACCAATCCGTCCGATATCTTATCGGGTGGCTAACGGATTAATACATTTAAAAGCCGATAACCGTTAAGCCAAACCGTTAAGAGTAAAAAGCTGCCCAATCCGCCCGATAAGCAGCCCTACTAGGGTTAGCTTAATGGGTATTGGGTATTGGGTATTGGGCTTGGATTTATGGGCTAAGTCCGAATTGGATCCTAAAATTGGGCTCTAAGACTCTTAAAATTGTGGTTCAAAACCTTAGTTAACTCCCTTTAATATAAGATAAAAATACTACACAATGCAAAAACTAATTCTAATTAATTAAACTAAACTATATTAAAACATGAAACTATATTTTTGTATTTTCAAGATTATATAAAGATAAAAATAAAGTACTATTTTTATTTTTATATCCCAGACCCCACCTGTTGGGATCAAACTGGGTTTGTTGTTGTTGTTTATGAAATGTACATAAACTAAAAGTAACCAGATAAAATATCAATAAGCTAAATAAAAGAAAATATTTTTGTAATTATCATTTTTGTGACAAAATAAAATAAAAGAGTCAAAATTAGTTAAAGTAGCGATATTAGACCTAAACAAAATATTTAACACTAAAATGTATAAAATCTTGGGGAGGGTCAAAAATCACATTTCTACAGCTGCCCCTCTTTAACTGGAAACACGAAGAGTTTTCAGACAAAGAACGATGAGATAGGTTTTTTGACCCGACCCTTATTTAGAGAGACCAAAAACTATGAGAAAGGAGAATGTGACCGAGCCCTGGTACCTGAGCTGCCTATATATCCTTGGATATAAAGGAATCAGGCCACATGTAGTTCAGAAGTAGGAACAGTGATGGAGTATACCAAGGTGGAGAGCCGATTGAGATGTCGTTCCATCGAGGTTCCGGTCTGCGGTCCTGTTATTACGTCAAAATCAAAAAATAAAAAAGACTAACTAAGCTGTCAACTATGAGTTACAAGATTCATATCTATAAGTCTTCTGAAGTTTGATCTTGAGTCTTGAATGGTTCTTCATGCAGACTTTAGGTTTGAACCTTGACGCTTGCTAGTTGTAGGTGCTAGTTCAATCTTCTTCAGCTTTTCGGATCAAGACCAGACACGTCTCCTATGAGTAAAACTAAGAAACTTTGACTGGCAAATGCGTTTGCTAAAATAAAACCTGAATGACCCAAACTAAGAATTGCATCTCCCAGGGGTGGAACTTCAATGACTCAAACTAGGAAGTGTGTCTCCTAGGGATGAAATCTCAATTTAGGAAGTGCATTTCCTAAAGGTATATCCTAAAAAACCTAGACTAGGAAGTGCATCTCCTAGGGCTGAAACTTCAATTACTCATACTAGGAAGTGCGTCTCCTAGGGTTGAACTCTCAATTTAGAAAGTGCGTCTCCTGAAAGTATATCCTGAAAAACCCAGACTAGGAAGTGCGTCTCCTAGGGGTAAAACTTGAATGAACCAACTAGGGAGTGCGTCTCTTAGGGCTGAACTTAAATGACCCAAACTAAGAAGTGCGTCTCCTAGGGGTGAAATCTCAATTTAGGAAGTGCGTCTCCTAAAAGAATAACTTGAAAAACCCAGACTAGGAAGTGCGTCTCCTAGGGGTGAAATCTCAATTTAGGAAGTGCGTCTCCTAAAAGAATAACTTGAAAAACCCAGACTAGGAAGTGCATCTCCTAGGGGTGAAACTCCGATGACTCAAGCTAGGAAGTGCGTCTCCTAGGGATGAACTCTCAATTTAGGAAGTGCGTTTCCTAAAGGTATATCCTGAAAAACCCAGACTAGGAAGTGCGTCTCCTAGGGGTGAAACTTCAATGACTCATACTAGGAAGTGCGTCTCCTAGGGTTGAACTCTCAATTTAGGAAGTGCGTCTCCCGAAAGTATATCCTGAAAAACCCAGACTACGAAGTGCGTCTCCTAGGGGTGAAAATTGAATGAACCAACTAGAAAGTGCATCTCCTATGGGTAAAACTTTAATGTAGGAAGTGTGTCTCCTAAAACAAAAATATAACCTAAAATGCCTAGACTAGGAAGTGTGTCTCCTAGGGGCGAAACTTCAATGACTCAAACTAGGAAGTGCATCTCTTAGGAATGAATTTAAATGACCAAAGCTAAAAAGGGCGTCTCCTGTGAATGAACTTAAATGACCAAAGTTAGGAAGTGCATCTCCTAACAAGTATAATCTAAAAGACCCCTACTGGGAAGTGCGTCTCCTAACGGGTAAAACTTCAATGACTACAACTAGGACGTGCATCTCCTAGGGATGAATTTAAATAACCAAACTAGGAAGTGCGTCTCCTATAGGTGAAATCTCAATTTAGGAAGTGCGTCTCCTAAAACAAAAATATAACTTGAAAGACCAAGACTAGGAATTGTGTTTCCTAGGGGTGAAACCTTTAACCTAAAATTAGGAAGTGTGTCTCTTAGATTTGAGATTGAGCTTGAGGATAACTATAAACGGAGCTTGACTTGACTAAAAATTGGTCCTATTCTCCAGGCGGGACCCCTGAACTCAAGAAAAACTAGAGATTAAAACTTAAGGAAGCTAACAATTGACACAATTCTCCAGGCGGGACCCCTGAGCTTAAGAAAACTAAAGACTAACAGCTGGAGGAAACTAAAAACTAACCCTATTCTCCAGATGGGACCCCTGATCTAAAGGAATGCTAAAGAATAACAACTTAAAGAAAAATTAAAAACTGACCCTATTCTCCAGGCGGGACCCCTGATCTTAAGGAAAACGAAAGACTAACAAATTAAGAAGAATTAAAAAACTGGCCCTATTTTCCAGGCGAGGCTCCTGATCATATGAAAACTAAATATTCTTCACAACTAAGGGGATGTCTAGGAGGCATGGTTCTTCTCAACTAGGGGTATGCCTATGAGGTCAAAAAATATTCTCAAACAGCCTTTGTGCTGACAAAATTGGGCATGACACTTGAAAGGTTCAAGCTTTCCAGCTTTGATTTGGACACAACCTTCGTCCCTGTTTCAAACAAAGAAAACTTGTGAGTTTAAACATGGTGGTTGGTTTGTGGCCTTGACTTTGAGGGAGATTGCTCTTTCGTTTCCCATGATAACTTTGATTTCAACTTGAAAGACCTTGCTTGTTATTGACTAACCACTTTCTCTGTCACCCTTATCACAGAAAATACATTTGATCCATTCAAACGCAATACCCTCTATCTGTCGCATTGTGCTCATGAATTGACATATACCAAACCTTTGTATTTCACATGAATCACAAAGCACGTTAACTGCCACCCACTCAGTGCGCATACTGTTCTTTCCTGACTTATGTCACTTTGATGTGCTAGCCAAATTCCGCTTTGTGCAATTGGAAAGCTGCTAGCAAATTTTGATGTCATTTCTCCCTTGTTCTGAGCAAACAGACTCAAGAAGAGGAAGTAAACAAAATAAAAGGAACAGAGTAAGGGACAATAGAAAGAGATGATACCTAACAAGAAAATTACAAAGTAGAAACTTATCAGATGTGGATACCAGCTCTAATGACCTTGACACGCACTTTTGGATTAAGCGGCCTAATCTGTCAAGCAAGTCTAATGTTTAACTCTTGTTGTACCTCTGAGTCGTGAAACTATGCTTCAATGCTCCAATTATCCTATCTGATTCACGGTCCTTATTCAACTTGTAGTGCCCGAAGGATTTTCACCATCAAGTCTCTCTCTTTTTGTTATTTATCTCAATTTAGTGTCACTTTATAGTGCCTGTGAAGGTTTTCACCGATAAGACTCTCTCATTTTGTTCTTTTTTTATTACTTCTGATTCTGTAGATGACAAGGCATTGACCATAGTAAAAACGTCATATGCTCCTGGCATGTCTAGCTCGGTACTCTCAAAGATTATATGGGAGGTCTTTTTTGGACTGTAATGTAGCTTTCGAATAGGGTTAGAAAGAAAGGATATCATAAAGGCTCAAAATAACTAAGACAACGGAGTTAATTTATTTACAACTTTTGGAATCCATTATAAAACTTTGCCCCAATTTCTAAAACAAGGGAATTTGATTCTTTTTTTTTAGATGGAATTTCTAAGAAAGACTGCCCCACTCTTGACTTCGTGGGATTATGAAATATTTTATTTGGTGCAACCGAATCTTAAGGCTGCCTACGTATCTTGTGGTGACAAGAATCAGGTCGAACGTAGTTCATAACGACACTTTTTGTTGCTATTTTCCTTTTTCTCTTTTTCCTTTTTTTTTTCTTTTGACTTTTATTTTAGAATGAATTTTCTAAAACAAACCTTATGTGTCACGACCCAGATTTCCCACCCTCAGGAGTCGTGATGGTGCCTACTAGTGTGAGCTAGGCAAGCCGACTGTTTGAACAAATTACCTTTTTCCCATTTTAATCCTTTACAAGAAATTATAAGCAATAACTTAAAGACAACGGAGTTTATATCAAGCATAAGAAAAATAATAAAATTACTGAGTATAACCAATACAACTGTTTAAACAAGACTACCCAGAACTGGAGTCACAACTTCACATACATCTAAGAGTACTACAAATAAGGTTTGAAAGAAATAAATACAACACTATCTCTCGAAATGCATGAAAGAAACAGAAATAGTAGATAGAAGGAGATGTCAAGCCCTGCGGAC